GAGTTTGGGACCATTCTGGGCAAAAAAGCAAAAGCAAGACCCGTCTCTACAAAAAAAAAAAATTTAAAACATTGGGCGTAGTAGCATGCACCTGTACTCCCAACTACTCAGGAGGCTGAGGCAGGAGGATCCCTTGAATCCAGGTCAAGCCTACAGCGAGCTATGATTGCACCACTGCACTCTAGCCTGGGCAACAAAGCGAGATCCTGTCTCTGAAATTAAAAAAAAAAGGAAAAAAAAGTGTAGGTTGTGCTGTAGGATCACAAAAACTTTGTGCCGGTTAAACCACTTTACTGCCTTTCATGAATTAGTTTCCACAACTAATGTAGAGTCTGCTGTTTGAGAGTTTCACATGCCATTGTTTGTGGCTTTACATTCTCTAGATCCCTGTTTAGATCTTGGGTCAAAAGTGACCAAGGAGGCATCTTTATACTATTTTCTCCTTTTATTATTTTCTCAGCTAACAATTCTTTCCCTCTTTTGTTGATTGGGTAAGGAATATCTGAGTGTTATTACTACTAGCTCTACGGCAACCTCTTATAAACTTCAATATATCATTCAAAACATTGGTTGATTTGGGCATGAGGTAGTTCTAGAATTCTCTTTTGCTTAGTATGACATGTTGATAGATTGGGGTAAATGTGAATAAAACATTGCAGATATCTTTGAATGTATGACTTACAAATAACCTCAACATTTCAGGCTAGCTAAATATATCTTTAAAAGGTAATTTTCACCTCACCTATTAATGAGAATTAAAAGAAAAATTCTTTGATTTTAAAAAATTCTTTGATTTTAAAAGATAAATTCTCTGATTCTCATTCTTCTCATCAGTAAAATGGGAGTAATGTACACTATCTCACTTAATGATTATCATTCTCACTCAATGAATCACGATATTAAATTTTCAGTATCATTGACCAATAATGCAAACATTTTGAGAAAACATGGCTTATAAATTTCTATCATCCCTGATGTTAATCAGTATTTCTTGCAAAATAATTAAGTAATGCCTGCTTTTATTATTAAACATTTTTTTAAGTTCAAAACCTACTAAAAGTCTACATTTATAAAATTATTACAAACACTTAAAAGTTATGTTTCCAAATTATGAGATTGTGTAGATATGTGAATTCCTATAAGGTTATACACATATCAATTTGGGCAACACAATTACATAATAATTGGAATATTTCCAAACACTTGTTTTAAAAATGCTTTCTCCTAGCACTAGTTTCATAAGAAGGTAGTACACTGTCACTGATCATAAATAAACCATCATTACTGGCTGGGAGCAGTGGCTCACACCTGTAATCCCAGCACTTTGGGAGGCTGAGGTGGGCAGATCACCTGAGGTGGGGAGTTTGAGACCAGCCTGGCCAACATGGTGAAACCCTGTCTCTACTAAAAATACAAAAATTAGCCAGGTGTGGTAGTTGGCACCTGTAATCCCAGCTACTCGGGAAGCTGAGGCAGGAGAATCACTTGAACCTGGGAGGTAGAGGTTGCACTGAGTAGAGATTGTGCCATTGCACTCCAGCCTGGGCAATAAGAGCGAAACTGCATCTCAAATAATAATAATAATAATAATAACAATAATAATAATAATAATAATAAACCAACATTACCAAGTGCTGACAATGATCTTGAGCAACCTGAATTTTCATACATCCCTGGTAGAAGTGTAAATTGGTACATGCTCTTGGGAAAACTGTTTGAAATTATCCACTAAAGTTAAACTTGTGTACTTTATGACCCAGCATTTCTACTTTTAGGTAAGTGCTCAATATAAATGAATACTAATAAGTAACACATCTATAAGAACGTTCATAGCAGCTTTATTCATAATAGCCAAACAGTGGAAACATCCAAATGACAATAGAATATTCATTCTCATTGTTGTGTAGTATTATATTTTATTTATATGATACAAAATTTTGTATCATATAAATAAATATTTAAAGTTGAGTAGAAGGAACTAGGCACAAAGGAATTCGTGGTGATTCCATGTACATAAAGGTCAAGAAAAGGCAAAGTTCATCTATGATGGCAGTAGACAAAGTTATGGTTACTTCTGAGGGGGTATACTAACTGGGAAGGGCATGGGGGTGCTTCTGGGGTGCTGGAGCTGTTCTAAATCATTATGTGGGTCATGGTTGCACAGGGTTGTGTGTGTGTGAGCGTGTACGCATGTATGTGTGTGTGTGTAAAAATTCATTGAACTGTACCTTTCAGATTTTCATGATCATTATTCATTTAACTACAGAATGTCATAGAGATTCCACCATTTAAAGATCTTGTTTTTATAAAATTACCCATACTATCTTATAGATGCTGGAACAGTTAAACAATGAAGAGTAGCCACAATTGGCAGAGCACCTTCTCTTCCTACAGGATAGAGCTCACTTGTACCAAAGCTGACATATGACTGCCTGCTATACAATGCAGAGTAAATTTAAAAGTTTATTATTAATTAAATTTATTTCCCACTGTTACAATAAATAAATTGAAGTGTAGATGGTTTCTTTCCTCTTGCATGTTTCTTTGCATTTATTCTCAGTACATATTTTTGTCCCCTCCTTTGTCCCTTCCCAAACCCCTTGCTCAACTTTGGAAACTTGATTGAATTACACAACAGTTGCCTAACATGATAGTCAGTGGGATATTTGCTCAGTAAATTCCTAAAGCAAAAATGGACAGTTATGCCCCATTATGAGATAGAATTGGCAAATTTTTCCTAGAAAGGACCAGATAATATACATTTTAGACTTTGAAGGTCATATGGTCTCTGCCATAGCTTCTCAACTCTGTAATTGCATCATACATAGACAATACATTTTTTAAAGTGGCTGTATTTCAATAAAACTTTTTTATGAACACTGAGTCTTATAGCATCACAAAATGCTATTTTTTCTTCTGTTTTAAAACAATTTAAAATGAGAAAATCATTCTTAGCTTTTGAGCCGTACAAAAAGAAGTGATGGACAGAATTCAGGTCTCAGGACTTAGTTTGCAGAGCTCTGATTTACAGTCATGTAATTTTAAGTAATAACTTGAATCTCAGCCTTCAGTTCCATCATTTCTAGTAGGTTGTCAAATTACCATATGCTGTTAGACGGTGCTTTTATTTATTGTTCCTTTAACAAGCACTAAATATTAAATCTAATATCAAAGGCTTTGTTTCCTCTTTGGCACGATTGTAATTCATAGGACTTCTAATAAAAGAGGATAGGTTTGTAAAATATTCCACTGAGATATTTGAGGCCTAGTCTTTAGTAGCTACAGTGTCAGTAAGAATCACAATGCTTTTCTGCATAATCTTAATTCTGATTTGATAAATAATTATTTTTTAAAAACCCTTCATTTTGAAAACAATGAAATAACTAAGGCAGTATATAATGCATCTATTTGAGACCCTCTGGCCAAGTTCTGTGACTCCTTCCTGGGTTTTTATGGGTCCTGACACATGAGGAAACAAATATTCACTGACATTCAAGAAGGTCAGAGGTATAAGTAACGGCTCCACACAGCATAGCATTTTCAAGACAGGCCTCCAAGTTGGTTCCTCTCCATTCTCTGCACTATTTGCCAAGAGACATGAATGTCAAATCTTTAAATTATTGAACTCTGTCATTCTCCTGTCATCCAAAATCAGGGTGGGTTTTTTCCTGATGAGTTCTATGTGCATTTTTTTTTTTTTTTATTTTTTTAGACGGAGTCTCGCTCTGTCCCCCAGGCTGGAGTGCAGTGGCGCGATCTCAGCTCACTGCAAGCTCTGTCTCCCAGGTTCATGCCATTCTCCTGCCTCGGCGTCCAGACTAGCTGGGACTACAGGTGCCCGCCACAGCGCCTGGTTAATTTTTTGTATGTTTAGTAGAGACGGGGTTTCACCATGGTCTCGATCTCCTGACCTTGTGATCCGCCCGCCTTGGCCTCCCAAAGTGCTGGGATTACAGGCATGAGCCACCGCGCCCGGCCGAGTTCTATGTGCATTTTCAAAATTGTTATTTCTATTCAGACTGAACCATGTAAAAAATCATCTGAAAGGGTAAATTTGAGGAACGACATCACGCTGCTTTGTGTCTCTCACCCATTCAGCCCCAAATGAGGGATCCCTCAGCCACAGCAACAGGAAAAGGGGACAAAGGGGCACTGATTTTCCGTGAAGGTGAAATCTGCTGCACAGGCCCCAAAACTCACTGCACATAACTCAGCTTAAGCCCATCTCCAGGAACCCCTCCTGGGTTTCTGTGCTCCATTCTAGAGTCAGTACTTTGCAACTAGCCTTGTCCTTCTTCATTTAGGGTGGATACAGGGTAGACTTGGGAGACCTGAAACAAGATAAATATAGAGTCAACAGAAGAACAAACTCAGGAGGAAAGCCAACTGGGCTCAAATCTCAGCTCCACTCTTCAGTGTAGATGGAAATAGACACTTATTGAACACCTGTTTTGTGTTGGAAACTTCACATAAACTGTTCCAGTTGTTAAACAAGAAGAGAGAAAGGAACAAAAGGTGTCCCTTATTTAACTGACGTACAACAGGAAAGAAAACTTCTGAAGGAACTGCTTCAAAGCCATGAAAGAGACAAAGGTTGTTTTAAAAGAGGGTTTTGCTTCACATATTATTCAAGTGACCAGGTTGACTTTGTTGAACTTCTGATTCCGTGACAGCAGCAAACTCTGCATGTGTGCTCAGGGTTTGCCATGCTGTGGTGTACTCTCAACCTAAAAGAGTATGCAGCATAATGGTTGTGAATCTCTGGAAATCAGGGTGTCACTTCTGTTTTCCAGAGGACAAAGATGCCAGAGGAGCTTCTGATCAATGTGCTATGAGACCACCTATGGAAGAGAGAGAACAACTCTGTAACTGTGGCTTTACTTAGTAAACTTCCAAACGATTACTGAAATGTCATCATTAGACACCTTAAGCAACTAGCAAAAAATTCTTATTTCTAACTCAGCCGCCTCATTCTTTTTCTGTCTTTCCCTGTGATCCAGGAGGAAGGATGCTGGCTTCTTATCGTACAAAGATCACCTGCCAGTGAGCCAAGTGGTGGTTGGAGATACTGACCGGCAAGGCTCAGAAGCCAAATTGAGTGTGGGTCCTCTGCGCTGCCAAGGAGACAGTAAGTTTGCATGGCAGCTATGGCTTGCACTTTCTTATCCCATTTAAATATTGTTTCCAGGCTGCTCAGAAGATGCTGCAATCAGACTTGCTCTTCTGTGGCTCCTACAGAAACATCACGTAACCCAAGCAGAGCTAACTTAGAGGAGGGGAACAGCCATAAAGCCTCCAGTACAGGAGCCGAGATTTGGGCATAAAGTGGGGATATCCATCTTTCCTCTGTATTCATATGTAACAAGTTTGACTACCTAAGTTTATGATGATATAAATAGCAATGCTAATAGCATAAATGCGGTACTCAACAGCTGTGATTCCACTGAGTGCTGCTGTTAATGCCATTAGGATGACTATTTATATCACCATAAACTGAGTTTATGGTGATATACATAGTAGCATTATGGGTTAATGTATCATTGTAAACTGGGATTATGGCCATATAAAGTTTGACATTATTGCTATCAAACTTCATCATCATCAGAGCTTGATGGTCCCTTGTAAGCCAAAGATTGTTTCTGTAACTATGTCTTGTTTCAGGATTAGTCACCCCAGAGAGGAATTTGGGGCTGCTAGCTTGGACAGTGGGAGGTAAGGGAGTTGGAGCGATGGTCCCTCCTAATTAAGGGCACCATTAGGATTTTATGTTGTTTGATACCCTTGGGTGTGCTTTATGTGCAGTCAGAGGGAAACAGTGACACGGTTGCACTGTGGGGATTCTGCAGCGAGCGTCCTGGGCATCATTTTCCCTCTTCTTTTTGGGACACGTGGTTTAGGCAACTCTCCTGAGAGTTCTATGCTTTCGTGATTGTGTGCAAGGCATCCGGAGACCTGGATTCTGCTCCCTGAATAGCTGACTTGCCAGGAGACCTCAGGCAAACCCCTCCATTGTCTTAGCTGTGGTAATGAGAATACCACCAGCATCCCACTTCCTCCTGGGAAGGCTGTAAATATTTTAGTGCCTGGATTGGGATTCCTCCTAGCAAAGCATTATGTTAGATGGAGTATTATTACCACTTTGTAAATCAATGGAGAATTAGACCTACTTGATAATAAATTATTGCGTCCACTCGAAGAGGTGTCCTAAGGAACGTAATGATGCATGCTTAACAGTTTCCTACTTAGTAAATTGAGGTTGTCGGCAATTAAGCAATGCCATGTTCCTAATACAAAAGGGAGATGGACTTTGTACTGATTTTCCTCTACTTACATTGAAAATGCTACCTGTAAAATTGAGACTGGCCAAGATCTTTATCACACACTTATTAAATAATAATACTTCATTTGTTCAGTCAGGCTTAGTAAAACTCTTCAGGAAGAAATTTAATTTCAACTGCCTAAGAATAGGATATTCACCTAAAGTAATAGTACATATGCATTTTAAACAAATAGTATAAGAAATGAAAGATAGCATTGCTCTAACATTAGGAAGACTGTCATGTGTTGTCTAATGAAAGCCATTTTTGTATGGAATAATTACTCATTGGCATATAAAGGTAAAATATTTCTGGCTTACCGATTCTAATTCTGAAGTTAGCTTTGAATTTGAGAAAGTGTTCCCATTAAATGATTGATTAATAAAAATTTCACTTCTGCAAACTTTTTTTCTTGTTTTGTTTTATTATTTTTTTTTTCAGACGGAGTCTTGCTCTGTCACCCAGGCTGGAATACAGTGGCATGATCTCAGCTCACTGAAACCTCTGCCTCCCGGGTTCAAGTGATTCTCCAGCCTCAGCCTCCCAAGTAGCTGGGATTACAGGTGCACACCAACACGCCTGGCTAATTTTTGCATTTTTAGTAGAGATGTGGTTTCACCATGTTGGCCAGGCTGGTCTCTAACTCCTGACCTCACGTGATCCACCCGCCTTGGCCTCCCAAAATGCTTGGATTACAGGCGTGAGCCACTGCACCCAGCCTTCTGCAAACTTTTATTACCATTCATAAAAAGAAGATTCTAGGAACATTAAATAGTAGATGCTGCAGTATATGAGCAGTTTATAATTAATATCAGCTTATTTGTTCTTAATAAATCAACCACAGGAAGAATTTATTGTGAGGCTGTCATTCATCTAGAACTTTCCTAGGTGCTCTGGAAAATAAGAAAAAGAAGTTCAAACCATGTTATGTGAAATGAACATGAAAAAATATTGGAAAACACAACTTGGTTTATAATTTAATTTTAGGTTTTATGATATAAAATTATTGCAACTGATAGGAAAGGAGCCATAGAAGGTGTATTTCAGGCAGACTTTCTTTTTAAAAAGAGAAAATGGGAAAAGTATAGTGGTCATTGTTCATTTGCATTTCTATTCTAGGGCTGTTGGTCTTTAGAAACATTTTTAGAACCTATTAATAAAATGAACTGTTATTTATTCACATTACATGATCTCAGTATACTTATAATTACTGTAGCTTCAGAAAGACTCTTTTGAATAATATTTTACCTGATATGTCATGAAAGCAAAAGCAGTCAACAGTTAATGGCAATTATGTAGAATACTTTTGTGTCTGTGAGAGAGTGAAATCTCATTGTTTTCCAGGCAACTGAGAATAAGTATTCTACCTGGTACTTGAATTGCCTTGTAGCAGTCAGCAGCTGTGAAGCCCATGAGCCCTTTAAGAATGTTCTCACATGGACACAGTAATGATAGAGCGTTCCGTATCAATTGCATTTTCCAGTTTTTATACATATACAATCTCCTTGGATACACACAGCCTCCTGTGAATTCGGTAGGGCAAATATTAGTCTTTCTGCTTTACAAATGAAGAAAATACTTCTTTGAAAATGGCATTTACACAACAAATTTCTGAGCACACTTTCAGGCTCTGAGAAGCTTCAGGACAAAAGATTGAACAGAGAATAGAAACAGCTGTGTCTGTACAAGGTCAGAGTTGCTTTCCCGACTGCACTCTCTTTCCTGAGCCGATTGTTGATTAAATTAAAATGTCTTAAAAATATTTCATTTGGGTCTTATCCTACCACTGGCCTCATCCACCCATGTCAGTTACCAATATAGTACAAACATTGTAGGGATTAAATTTATGTAATTTAAAAAGTGGCGTGGTGCATTTGTCCTGCTGTTTATAGAGATGAACTTACTTTGTGTCATTTACTGAAGTCTGTTCAAAGCTACAGCTTATAAAGACTAAACCTATTGTTGAAAAATATCTCTTGGTTTGAGGAGTTGAGTGATGGTAGCCCTCAGAAGCTGCCTCTTGAATTAGGCCCCAGTTTCATCCTCTAGTCTCAGAGAATGAAACCATTTTTGTGGGCTCAGCCCAACCATTTCAGCAGTTTCGGTTGATTTCATCATGCCTGCTGTGTTTTATTTTTGCTTTGATTCATCTAAACTTAGACCCACAAAATCAAAATGCTAAAGAAAATCAGTGAGTGCCACTCAGATCTGCTGCATTTCCCATATAGTGCTGTGAAATGCTTATGTCCTTACAGGGGTGTTTGTGTGTCTGTGTGTGTGTGTGTGTGTGTGTGTGTGTGTGTGTGTGTGTGTAGTTTTTTTCTTTCTTTCTTTCTTTTTTGCAAAGCCTATCCGAATGGAAACTTCAAATCTAAATGACGCTGAAAGTAGGACTGGTGATGGATGGTTCGCTAAAATAAAAACTGCTGTGAAAATACAAATCCCCCTCTTAAACTAGGTCTACGCACCTAGAAAGAAACAAAAGCCATTTAGAAGATCAAAAATTAATGATTAGGTAGACGTTGTTTCAAATTGAAATATGTAATCTTCTTTGGAGACGGCTGCCAAACTTTCATACTTTCATGAAATTAATTTAAAAAAAATAAAAGACTTCCATTTTTTGGAGGTAGAAATCTCATACTATATCTGATGAATATAATTAATTGTAGGAATATAGTATTTGGTAGACAATTGCTTTATTTTCAGCCATATGATGTAAAACTTTACCGTACTCCTCTAGGGATACAGGGACTGTAAATAAATACTTTGGAGCAAGTTTGTCAGAACCATAGGAAAGGTTTAAAAAAAAAAAAGGCAAATGTTTTCAGTAAACCTAGGTAGATAAGTAGAAACAATTCCAGAAAATGTCTTATTCAAGGGCTTCTTCCAAGGCCATGCCAGAAATACTGGCTGTGAGGCTGGCGACAGAGCACTGGAGTCACACTGCAGGATTAAGATGCAAATTCAGTTTCTCAGAGCTATGGAGGTGACCCAGAGAGATAAGGAAGGAAAGGCAAGGCAGTAGTAACACATCCAGTTCTGGAACACTCAGAGGGCAGACAAAGCTATGTGTAAAGAAATAAAGATATTGATGGAGATGCATCCAAATAATGGTGAATATTTGTTCTTTGGGAAAGTTATTTTATGTGCCAGAGTAATAGGAAGGCCATGATCTCTTTTTTGCAAGAATTTTACAAACCAGGATCATAACCTGCCATTCCCTTGCCAGGAAAGATAAGGTGGCCAGGCGTGGTGGCTCACACCTCTAATCCCAGCACTTTGGGAGGCCAAGGCAGGCAGATCACTTGAGGTCAGAAGTTCAAGGACAACCTGGCCAACAAGGTGAAGCCCTGTCTCTAATAAAAATACAAAAATTAGCAGGGTGTGCTGGTGGGCGCCTGTAATCGCAGCTACTCAGGCGGCTGAGGCAGGAGAATCATTTGAACCTGGGAGGCGGAAGTTGCAGTGAGCCAACATCATGCCGTTGCACTTCAATTTGGGTGACAGTGTGAGACTCCATCTCAAAAAAAAAAGAAAAAGAAAAACAGACAAGGCCATGTCTAGGTCTCCACGTTGTTTCTGTACCAATGAAACATTTCCAACAGGGGTGCAAATGAGCGTAACTCTCCTTCAGAAGATAATACCCGTGAGAATACATAGGCCACATACTGAAGGAGAAACCACCTCTCACTTGGGCTCAGGAAGCGATTCTCCTTATTGAGAGGAAACAGCTCTCCAGGCTCCAGAGAAGAGTTCAAAGTTTATTTATCTCCTTCTTCTTTGCTGCTTCAGGCTTGGAAAAGACACAAAA